TCATGTGGGTATGTGCGTGTGTATGTACATCTGTGCAGATGCTCATTCGTATGTGTGCACCCAAGTGTAGGGGACAGAGATTGATGTCAGGTGTCTTTACTAATGATGCTTCAATTTATTTTTTGAGATAGAGTCTCTCACTGAGCCTGGGTTACTGATGTGCACTGTTAGACTCAACTGTGTTTTTTCACATTGTGCCCAGCTTTTTTACGTGGGTGCTGGGGATCCTAACTCGGGTTTTCATACTTGCACACAGAGGGTACTTTACAAACTAGACCATTTCCCCAACCCCGTGTCAAGTCTTTCTTTTTTCTTTTATTTTTTTGTGGGTTTTTTTGTTTCATTTTGTTTTTGTTTTTTGAGACACAGTCTCACTCTGTAGCAGTGGCTGACCTGGAACTTTCTATATGGACCAGGCTGGGCTCAGACTCACAGAAATCCTCCTGCCTCTGCCTCTTTAGTGCTAAGACTAAAGGTGTGTGCCATTATGCCTGACTCTTTTAATTTTGTTTTGCCTGTGTATGTGTATGATAGTGTGCAAATATGTACACATGTTCATGTGGGGGGTACACATATGTGTGCATGTGGAGGCCAGAGGTTGAAGTCGACTGTCTTCCTCCCCTTAAGTATTGAGGCAGGTTCTCTCACTTGAACTCAGAGATCACTGATTCAGCCAGCTTACTCTGGTGGCTCACACCTTTAATCCCAGCACTTGGGAGGCAGAAGCAAGTGGATCATTGTGAGTTCAAGACCAGCCTGGTCTATGTAGCAAGTTCAGTTGAGGATACAGGGAGACCCTGTCTCAAAAAGACCAAAAAAAAAAAAAAGGAGTCTGTGGGGCTGAAGAGATGACTCAGCAGTTAAAAACACTGGGTATTCTTGCAGAAGACCTGGGTTCAAATCCCAGCACCCACATGGCAGCTAACTGTCCATAACTCCAGTTCCAGAGGATCCAACAGCCTCTTCTGTCTTCCTCGGGCATTGCAAGACATGGGTGTACTTACTTACATACAGGCAACACACGAATACACATAAAAAAACAATAAAATATAGCCATGTGCAGTGGCGCACGCCTTTAATCCCAGCACTCGGGAAGCAGAGGCAGGTGGATCTCTGTGAGTTTCAGGCCAGCCTGGTCTACATAGTGAGTTCCAGGACAGCTGGGGCTACAGGGAGACCCTGTCTCAAAAAGACCAAAAATAAATTAATTAATTAAATTAAATATTAAAAAAGAAATGCTTTCTGGGAAAAGATCAAATTTAGAACACTATTATTATTAATTATTATTATTATTTTATGTGTATGAGTATATTGCCTGCATGTGTATAACTGCACCCATGTCCTGCAGTACCTCCGGAGGTCAGAGAGAGTGTCAGATCCCCTGGAACTGGAGTTATAGATGGTTATTAGCTGCCATGTGGGTGATGGGAAGCGAACTCAGGTCCTCTGGAAGAGCAGTCAGTGCTCTTAACCACTGAACCATCTTTCCAGCCCCCAAATTCAGAAGACTTTCAAAAAAGTATGGTATGAAGTTGAAGCAAACATATGGGCTGTAAAGTCTGGGCATGGTGGCCCATGCCTGTAATCCCAGCACTTGTGAGATCAAGGCAGGATCAGGAATTTGAGGAATAATTATGCTTGGCTATGTGGTCAGTTTGAGACCAGGCTGGGCTACACAAAGAAAAATAAAAACAGAAACTAAGAAAGAAAAAAGAAAGAGAAACTTTCTTTTTATTTTATTTAATAGTACCAGAGAACTGAACGTAGGGCCTCACGTGAATTTTACCACTGGGCTGTATCCAACCCCTCTTTTTTGCTTTTTATTTTGAGACAAGCTCTCACTATGCTGCTTAGGAAGGCTTTGAACTCTCAAGTTGCTGGGATTCCAGGACTGTGCCACCAGGCCCACCATAATGTTCATTTGAGTGACAGGGTCTCACTATGTAACCCAGCTTTATATTCTCATTTTACAAGTAAAAAAAACTAAGGCCTAGACTGAGTAAGAAGCTCAAACTTGCCAGGCATGATGGCTCATACCTTCAGTCCCAGTGCTTGGAGGCAGAGGTGGGTGGATCGCTGTGAGTTTGAAAACAGCCTGGTATACAAAGTGAGTTCCATGCCACCAATACTGTATAGTGAGACCCTTTCTCAAAAACGGGGGTGGGCAAGCCGCTTTAGCCTCCTATTCAGTGGTCAAGAGCACTGGCTGCTCTTGCACAGGATCTGGGTTCGGTTCCCAGCACCCACATTGTGGCTAACCACCATCCATAACTCCAGTTCCAGAGGATCTGATGCCCTCTTCTGACCTCTGCAGGTGTTACATGACATGGGTGCACTTGCGTACATGGAGGCAATACACTCATATATAGAAAATAAAAATAATACATAAATTAGAAACAAACAAACAGGAACTGCAGCACTTGGGAGGCAGAGGCAGGTGGATCTCTGTGAGTTCAAGGCCAGCTTGGTCTACATAGTGAGTTCCAGGCCAGCTGGAGCTACAGGGAGACACTGTCTCAAAACCCCTCCCCAAAATAATAATAATACATAAAATATTTGTTTTAAACCAGGAAGAGGAGGAACTGCTCAAGTTTCTGGATTTAGATCCCGAAGCCAAGCTTGGAGGGCATCTATGGCCAAGTTGGCCATGTCCCAGCCCTTCCTTCCTCTCCCTTACCTTGGCAATGCTGGGGTCTGGTGTACTCAGTACCATAACCTAGAAGAAACCAGTCTCTTTTGAGTCTTGGCAATCTCTCAGTCCTTCCCCGCTGCAGTCTGGTGGCAGGTGGTACGAATGAGGCTTCAGTTGTCAGCTCCACATTGTCTGACCTGGAGCAAGCTTCTCTCCTCTGAAACTCAATTTCTTCATATGTAAACTGAGGGCTATAATAATGGTCATTGAGGGCCTGCCCTGGCACATAGTATGTTGAAGGGTGGTGTATACAGGGGAACTTGTAAGACTGCCTCAGTACTATAGGCCTTTGGGGTGGGAAACTATCTTCCACTGGATGGCTTTCTGCCTGGTGGCTTCTAGAGCAGTTCCTGTTTGACCAATGGGTGCCTTTCTGTGGCTGCTTTTCAGGCTACTGGGCCAAGCAGTTGATATCTTCACTTGTTTTTAGGTGTGGGAGTTTACTGGAGTGGATGTGGTGGGGCCCAGGGGTCTGGGAGATTGGGAGCTTCACACATAACAAGTTGAGTGGGAAGCGGCTTAGCAGATGCTTCCTGTCAGGAATGTGTGGACAAACTCCCACTCATCCTTTATGGTAGACATCGAGGGCCACCTCCTCTGTGCACTGATCCTTGATTTCCTCATAAAACATACACTTCAAACTCAGGGTTTGGACTAGGGCTATAGCTTACTTGGTAGGAAACTTGTTTGGCCCCCGTGAAGTCCTGGGTTCGATCCTCAGCACTAATTAAACCATGAGTGGTGGTAGACACCTGTAATCCCAGCACTTGGGAGATGGAGAATCAGTTCAAAGACATTCTCAGCTTCCTCTGGGGTTAAAGGCTGTTTGGTCCAGAGGCTACTTCCTCTGGATGAGTAGAGGGCTCATGTGGTGCAGGTATGTTTTTCCTCTGAGCCTCTCTCCACCCTGCCATCTCTAGCTGATGACAACTCTCAAAGTCAGAAGTTCAAGGGCTGAAGATATTGGACAGTGGTAAAGTGCTCACTCAGCTGTATGAAGCCCCAGCCGGGATCCCCTTTTGCTCCCCTCTTTGGCAAAAGAACCAGGAGCAAGCCATTTTTGTGATTTGTTTCCTTCTCAGGGGAAAAAAGGGGGGTGGCAATTACTGTGCCTGCCTCCCAGGGATTAAAGGATTTAATTTGTTCAAATTCAGCGCAGAGATCCAGGTACAGACTGGTAGAATTTTTTTTTTTGCAAACTTGTGGCTCAGAGAGGCTGAGAGGCCCCAAACATCTGCTTTTCTTTGAGGCTTTGCAAACGGTAAATGCATCCTGGTGGGAGGGGAGGGAAGCGGTGGGTGTCTCTGGACCCACTGAACGTTATAAAGAGAAAGTGACCGAGCTGAGCTGGAAGACTGATCTGCACTCAGGACAACCGCAGCGGCTTTCCGGACCCTCTGCGGGTGACACACACCCTCCTCTAGTGGTTCCCTTCCCTTTTCTCGCCGCGCCCCCTCCTCCGGCTTCTCTCTAATTCTGTGGGAGGCGGGGGCTCGGAGCAGGAGGTAGGGAGTCACCGGACCTAATGTTGGGGAAAAGCGCCTCCAGGTTTACAGAGAAGACGGGGCGCCAGTCTCCGAGAGAAACTCGGGGTCCCTGGATATGGGGATGAACTATCAGGAGCCCGGAATGGGGGAAGGGGGTCTTGCAAAGGAAAGGGTGTCCCTCAGCCAGCTAGGAGGGGCGAGGTAGTCCCTCCAAGACAGGACGGTGGGCGGGACTTCCTTGGGGCCAGGGGCGGTGCCTGGGAAGGGGGCGTGGCCTCCTGGACAGCTCGGCTCCCCCAACTAGAGCTAGGCTGGCTAAGCCGCAGGAGGCGGGGCTCTATGAGGCGTGGCATATGTTGGCGGGCGTGGTTTGGTAAGGGGCGGGGCGTTCATTCTCCTCCCCCCTCCCCCCTGGCCCCGGGTGTCCCCGTGACGAGGCAGCACCGAGCAGCCGTTGGCCGGTGCCATCCCGCCGCAGCGGCCCCGGGCCGAGCAGGGGTGAGGCGAGGAGGGGGCAGCGCCTAGCCAGACCCGGAGCGCCGCCAGGTGAGGCCGCCCAGGCGGAGGGGGCGGGGGCTGCGCCGGGCGGGCGCGGGGGGCGTGTTTGCGTGTCTGGGGTGGCGGGGGTGGAAGGGGTGGCTGGGGTGGTGGGTCCGAGGGCTGGTGGGTCGGAGGGCTGGCGTCCGGGGCTGTTTGCGCGTGGGCGCGTCCCTGCGGTAGCAGGTCCGGGGTGTGCTGCGCCCGTCTGGGCACTGCCCGCCGGCCTGGGGGTGTGCGGGACCTTCTGCGTGCGCGCGCAGCGGCCGGGGGCCGCCGGTATATCTGCGTATGCGCCGGGCGGTCATTGTGCCCGTCCCGGGTGCGGGGTGCGGGCCTGCCTCCGCGAGACCCTCCAGCGCTGGGGATGTTTTCCAAACAGACCGCCTTCGGGAGATGCGCTCTACTGCAGCCTGGGCTGGAGCGGGGGGAGCTCCGCCCCCACAGGCCTCCAGGGACCTGGGAAGCCTGGGGACCGCAGACAGACACCTGAGGGAGGGAAGGAGCGAGGGGGATGCGCACCCAGAAGGGATCCCGAGGCCCGCCTGCAGTGCCAGGCCAAAATGGGGAGACTGAGTCTGGTGGATGGCGAAGTTGGCAGGCAGGCAGGCAGGTGAAGAGGCGAGTAGAGGAAGGGAAAGAGAAAAGGTAAAAAGGACAGTGCTGGGAGGACAGAGAGTCATTGAGAGACAGAGGGACAGAGGCTTAGACCTGCAGAGGGGCACATAGATCCAAAAGCTGACAGTAACTCAGAGGTCTTGGGGTTAAGAGTGTAAGCCAGGAACTAAGTCTTCAGTCTAGAGCTAAGGTTCCCCAAATCCTAGTTGCCCCTCTTCCAAGCACATTCCAGACTTGGGCCCTGACCACAAAGCAGCCTTTAACCACCCAAAGTTGGTGCATCCCACTAGCCCCATCAAATATCATGACCCTCTAGCTCTGCCACAACCGTTTCTTGGCTCTGTTCCATCCCTCTTCCTCCTTGGTATCCCAGCAATCTGGACAGTTTAGGAAAGATGGAGGTGAAAGATCACTCTTGCCTTAGCCTGAGGGGCCTTGCAGTTAACCAGAGATTGAAATTGCAAGAACTTGGGGTGGGAAGCCTCAAAGCTCTTTTCTCTTCTCCCACTGTGCTCAGAATGGTGCTGGAAGGAAACCCTGAAGTGGGGGCCCCTCGAACCTCAGACCTCCAACACCCAGGGAACAAAGGCTCTTCTCCAGGTGAAGAAGCACAGCCAGGCGAGGAGCCCATCAAGTATGGTGAACTCATCGTTCTGGGGTGAGCCTCCATAGTCCAGGAGTGGCGGGCATCGGGTAAACCCCCACATCACCCCTCAGATCAGCCCAAACAATGATGGCCCCAGCTCTGCTCCCTCTCCCCACTCCGGGCCCCCTTTGTCTGTTGTCACCTTCCTGGATAAAAGACTAGACCCACCTCAGTTCATAATTAGGTATTTTTCCTGTTTCTCATAAATTCTCGAGGCAATTCTTGGCTGCCCAATGGAGTTTCTGACCAGATGAGAAAAAAGCAACACATCAGCTGCCTTGTGTAAAGCACCTACTGTGTGTGGTATGGAGTAGAGAACTCTGGTTTTATACAAAACTGCTTGGTCCTAATCTTGCTTCTGTAACTTGCTGAACTTTTCCCGTGCCTCTGTTTCCCATTTTGAAAACGGATATTAATTCAAAGGGTTATCAGAAGGAAGGAATGATTTCCGTAAAGTACATAGAATAGTACCCAGCACGTACCAAGTGTTCTGGGAGGCAGGCTGTGCTAGGCCCTTTCATGGACATTATTTCATTTCAATCTTCACAAAGATGCTGTGAGGAAGGAGGTGAGGAAACCGAGGCTCAGAGAGGGGAAGTGACTGGCCCAGGGGCATACAGCTGGTAAGTGGCAGGGCTGGGATTTGAACCCAGGTCTTCCTTACTATATAGTGTGCTGCCACTAAGCTGCAGCTCACCCTCACTACAGATGGGAAAACCAAGGCTATAAAGTGATGGGACTTGATGGCTGGACAGACCTTATCCCTTCCTGGTCTTTGTCTGCCTGGATCCCTGTACCTTGCATCTCTGCCATCAGTCCTATTTGTTGATGCCTATGTGCCACCTTGCCTTTTATTTCTCAAGTAACAATAATAGCTAACTCATAGCAAGAGCTTGCTGTAATGATGCCAAATTCTGCCAAGCATTGTAAGACTTTACCTTGTTAGTTCTCAAAATCAACCTTCCAAATAGGTCTTGAAAAATGAGCTCTGTTTTACAGAGGTTGTGTGATAGGTGGAAGAGCCAGAATGTGTGCCAGGCCCCTGTGAGTCCTCAGCCTGGGTCCTGACCTGGCTTCCTCTAGGCCTGCCTTAGCTCATACTGAAGAACAGCTTAGAAGAGCAAAGGAACTGATCCTCACAGGGGTGCTTACATCTGAAAAGCAGCTGCTTTACGCCCTGAAAGAAGGGCTGGATTTCTATCTGAGGGCAAGGTCACTGATGGAGGAGACTTCAGAATAAGGAGACCAAGACCTACTGACAGCCCCCTGTCCTCTGCAGAGCAGGGAAGCCCCCTCAGGCTGTACATCAGAGCCACTGGAGAACACATTGAAACCACACATTGAGCTCAGAGTGGTGGCACATGCCTGTAGTCCCAGCACTCAGGAGGTAGAGATAGGAGGATCAAGGCCAGTCGTAGCTATATAGTAAGTTGGAGGCCATCCTGGGCAACATGAGATCCAGTCCCAAAATTGCCAAAAAGAAAAGAGAGGGAAAGGGAGAGGAGAGAAAAGACACAGACAGGAACGCCACATCCATGTAGGCAGAATCTATACAGATGGGGGTCAGAAAATCTGGATTTTAACCTCACTAAGAGATTTTTTAAGTGGTCCTTTTCTGTATGTGGCAGCTTTCTTTCTTTCTTTCTTTCTTTCTTTCTTTCTTTCTTTCTTTCTTTCTTTCTTTCTTTCTTTCTTTCTTTCTTCTCTCTCTCTTTCTTTCTTTCTTTCTTTCTTTCTTCTCTCTCTCTCTTTCTTTCTTTCTTTCTTTCTTTCTTTCTTTCTTCAAGACAGGGTCTCATGTAGCCCAGGCTAGCCTCCATCTCCTGGTATAGCTAGGGGATGACCTTGATCCTCCTACCTCAACCTCTCAAGTGCTAGGATTATAGGTATGTGCCACCACACCCCACTTATGTGGTGCTAGGAATTGAACCCAGGGCCTCATGCATGCTAGGCAAGCTCTCTACCAATTGAACTACACCCCCGCCAGCCCTGTATTTGGCAGTTATTTAGAAAGCTGTTTATGTCCTGCTCTAAAGCTTTCTATGGCTCCTTACTACTTACGGAGCAATATTCTTAGCCTGGTGTTTATCTCTACTGTACTTGACCACTCAGATCACTAAACCCGGGTCTTACCAAAACCTGCCAATCTTAGGGCCTTAGCTCAGAGTGGGTCTTCCATCTTAAAGGACTTCTGCAAGTGTGGTATCTGGCAGACTTGAGCTTCAACATAGAATTTTTTTTTTTCACTTACTAGCCTGAGGCAAGTCACTTTACCCCCCTGAGCCTCGATTTGTCTAATTCCTAAGATTGGAAGAAAGACAACTTGCCTTGCAGGACGTTGCGCAGATTCCATTAGATAATTAATAATGTGAAGGACCGGCAACAAAGGCAGCAGTCCATGGCAGCAATCAGGGCTATGACTCACTCCGTCTTTCCTTCTCATGGTCATTTCCTCTGAATAAAGCTGGGGAGGAAGGTGGAAATTGGGCATGTGTAGAGATATGGAGGGAATAGACTAGGGGCTGTTTTTCCTCCATTTGTCTTTTCTGGTAGTTGTGTACCAAATGATCCTTTGCCACAGGTGTAGCCCTTGCACTTCTTTAAGGTCCAGTATAGGTGCTCCATTTCCTAGAACCTTGGTCCTGGGGTCATTATTCCCCCCTCCTGCCTCTGGGCCTGGAGTATACTTCATTTATGCCTGGGTCATGGCAGGCAGCACCTGGGTTCCTTGAGAAGCTGGGTCCTCTCCTCTACAGAGGACACAAACCTGATTGTGGTACATCACCTCTACTACCCCAGCACCTGCCCAGGCACAGCTCAGGCATCCAGGGAACACTTGGCTAATTGAAGGAGAGACCCTACCCTTACCCCTCAATGCACCAGTTTGCTAACATGGGCTCCTCTAGCTCTGGCTGGTCCTAGTGTTTGTCAGAGTAGGATTGGCTCAGAGTCGCCAAGTTTCTCAGGGGCTCACATTCTCTTTCTTTGTTTCTTCCTACTACTTCCTCTTCTCAACCCCCCACCATCCACAGTTATAATGGATGTCTGGCAAGTGGGGACAAGGGCCGCCGCCGAAGCCGCCTGGCATTGAGCCGCCGGCCACATGCCAACGGAGTGAAGCCAGACGTCATGCACCACATCTCTACACCACTTGTCTCCAAGGCAAGCAGTATCCTAATAGACTGGGTGCCACCCTGCCTTCTGTGGGCCAGAGCAGGTCTTTGGCTTTCCTAGACTTACCTGCCCATGGCTCGTTGGTAGAGTGCTTGCTGTGCAAGCATGAGAACCTGAGTTTGAATCCCTAGCACTGATTTAATAAAAGCCAAGTATGGCCACATGTGCCCTGTGACTACAGGACTGTGGAGGGCAGAGACAGGAGGACTACTGAGGCTTGTTGGCCATCAGCCTAGTCCAAACACGCCTGAGCCCTAGGTTCTGTGAGAGACCTTGTCTCAAAGGAATGAAGCAGAGTAGAAGAAGACGACACCCGATGGCCTCTGTTAGCACACAGCATGTACACACACACACACACACACACACACACACACACACACACCGCATTAAAATAGTGATAATGGAAATCCTTTGCAGTGTGCCCCCAGTCCCTAACAGATTGCAAAAGAATTCCTTGACTGCCAGACACCATTCATTGGTTGGAAATGATCAGCATCATTTTTAGAGACATCCAGGTCTCCAAACATGACATTCACACAACAATGCCAAAGGGGAGAGTTTGGCTTTATAGGGCTGGGGAGACATCAACCTCTGCTGTTTCCAGTTGTTGCCTCTGATCTGCAGTTCCCAGCTGTAAAATGGGAGCAGTAAGTGCATCAGCCTAGGGGGTTCAACAAGGAAAACCACAAATAGCTCTTTCTATATAGTCCCCTTTATACAGGAGGGAGCCACCCCTTCCTGACTCAAAAGTTCATATCCCTCATATACTCTGGGAAATGACTGTTTTCTCTTTACCAGGCTCTGAGTAACCGAGGCCAGCACAGCATCTCATATACACTGTCCCGGAGCCACTCGGTCATAGTGGAGTACACACATGACAGTGACACAGACATGTTCCAGGTATGTCCAGGGAGCCTTGAGCCTCCCGCCTCCCAGCTCGAGCTCTGAAGGTGTTGAGGGTTAGGCCACGCAGCCTAGAGGCCCTGAGAAAGATGTTCCTGGACAGTCACTGGTTGACTGCCCTTCAGCCAGGGAAGTATGATACCTCAGCCTGGGCTGCTAACTTTACAGTCAGTAGCAAGACAGTGTCTTGTCAAGACACCTAGAGACAGCCTTGATGTTTAGGGTACAAGGAACCTCGTCATGCTTGGGTTCAGTTACCAGCTCTGTCATTTATGATTGGGTGATTTTTGGTAAGAGTCATTTAACATCTCTGAGGCTTGTTTTCCCATGGGAAACCACCCTCCCCACAGGAAGATAAACTGAGGTCTTGCACATACTTGACCTATAATAAATTCATACTAAAACTACATAATTTGCTGCTACTATTCCAAGATATTACTTTATTATCAGTGTATCAGCAAGTGAGCTAGTTTTTATTGAATGCAGTGTTCCTTAGAGCTGTGGGGTCACAGAGCAGAAGCTCTACACCACATGTGTGTGTGTGATTGAATATGGAGAAGCCACATATGCACCCTAAAATTGAAGGAGTTGTGATGTGCCTACTTCTCCTCGAGTCTACCTGCTTCATTGTTTGGTGGCTACAGAGACACTTGGTGAGAAACTTGTGAAATTGGCCCACGCACACGTTCTTGCCCTCACCTTCCTTGCAGATTGGCCGCTCTACTGAAAACATGATTGACTTTGTGGTAACAGACACATCTCCTGGAGGAGGGGCCACAGAGGGCCCTTCTGCCCAAAGCACCATCTCCCGCTATGCCTGCCGCATCCTCTGTGACCGACGGCCACCCTATACTGCCTGCATCTATGCGGCTGGCTTCGATGCTTCTAGCAACATCTTCCTTGGGGTGAGTGAGCCCCCAAGGCAGGGCTAACTCTTCATCAGAGTGAGCTGAGGGGAGCATAGACTGGGGAGATGCTGTAGCCTAGAGTGATGGGGCAGCCCATAGATATCCTGGGCATGACTCTGGCAGAGGTTAGCAGCCCACTTCTCAAAGGAGCAAAGGAAGGTGCAGAGAGGTCAAGTGATGTCGAGTCCTGAAATCCCCTGGGCAGCCTCAGAACTTGAAGGTAGAGGTCAGCACCTCTGGCATGCAGCTTTCTGGAAGCTTCTGGGGTTATGAACTTATCTTATGTGGTCCTAGGAGCGGGCAGCCAAATGGAGGACTCCTGATGGCCTGATGGATGGCCTGACGACCAATGGTGTTCTGGTGATGCACCCAGCGGGCGGCTTCTCTGAGGACTCAGCCCCAGGTGTTTGGCGAGAGATATCTGTCTGCGGAAATGTGTACACGCTGCGGGACAGCCGCTCAGCCCAGCAGCGGGGGAAGCTGGTAGGTGGCCTGCTCCCTCTCACCCCATCCTTCCCAGGCCCTCACAGTCTGTCCCTCTCCCTTCCAGGCCAGAAGATGACGTACAGTTCTTGTCTCCAAGAGAGCCCCAACAGGCTCCGTCTGGTGAGCCTCAGGCCCAGGGAGTTCTTGACACCTGTAACTTACCCCACAGAGAGGACCAGAGCAGGGTCCCCAAGCATAGCTTTATATTGCTGGGGATCCACAGGGTGATTTGAAATCAGACCACCCAGATGCACCATTTAGAACCAAATGGCTTTCAGGCTGCTGGCAGCTTTAAAAAAATCACACCCTCTTATGAGGGTGACGCTGGGCCTGTGTGAGCAGTTTATAGTCTACAGTGCTGGCAGCCTGTAGTGCGTCTGTCACATTCAGGCAAGCTCCATGGTTTTCTCTCCCAGAAGGAAAGGGTAGTTTTTTACAGTACTGGTCTGGAAGTACCCCTTGTGTTTCAGTTTGGAGCACTCGGATTGGGTATGAGTTCCAGAAAGAGGCAGGAACATCTAGCCGTATTCCTTGACAGGGCTATATAGAGTTCACCTTGGGTGTGAACACGTGGGAAGGGAAGATTATGAGTTCTAGGCCAGCCTGGGCCATGTAGTAAGATCCTGTCCCCAAAACCACACCAAACCAACCAACCAAAGCCATGCATGTGAATGTGTCATAAACATATATTTATTTTAAAAAAATTTTATTTATGTGTATGAGTGTTTTGCCTCCATGTAAGTGTACCTTGTGCATGTAGTCCCAGGGTGAGGCCAGAAGAGGGCACAAGATACCCTAGAACTGGAGTTACAGGTGATTGTTAGCTACCATGTGGGTGCTGGGAACTGAACCCAAGTCCTCTGCAAGAGCATCAAGTGCTTTTAACTGCTGAGCCACCTCTCCATCCCAAACACATATTTCTTAAGTGCCCACTATATATCAGGTGCCATTCCTTGTGTTTGTATTGATTAATTTATTTAATCTTCATGAGGCCCACTTGAGATACCAGGATATGGAATCCACTTTAAGGTCAAGGACACTAAGACCCAGAGATTGAATTATTCTCTCGGGACACAGAGTAAGTGAATGGCGAGGTCAGAATTCAAACCCAGGCTGTTGGGCCCCAGAGTCATGGCTGTGATCCATGATCCCCAGGCAGCTGCTTTGGTGGCGTTTCCCGTCCAACATATTTCTTTCCTCTGCTTTACCCTACTTCTGTTGGTACGGGAGAGCTTTGGAAAGCATTTCAGAAAAACCCTGCCCGGGTCCAGACCTCCCAATTTGACCTGTGAAGACACCAAAGCCCAGGTCCTGCAGAGAATGAAAGCAGTGGGTACTGGGGGGCATCTCTCTGTTATTTGCCTCCCAGGTGGCCTACTGGCCCATGGTGTTCTCTCTAGAGAGCGTCAGTGACCAGATAGTTGGCTTCTCTGGGATGAGGCCCCCAGTGTGGGGGCTAGAGAACTCTCAGGCTAAGGCCTCTGCTGCCTTCGGCAGGTGGAAAACGAATCCAACGTGCTGCAGGATGGCTCGCTCATCGACCTGTGCGGAGCCACGCTGCTGTGGCGCACTCCGGCAGGGCTGCTGAGGGCACCCACGCTGAAGCAACTGGAGGCCCAGCGGCAGGAAGCCAACGCGGCTCGGCCCCAGTGTCCTGTGGGCCTCAGTACCCTGGCCTTCCCTAGTCCAGCCCGTGGCCGCACAGCACCTGACAAGCAACAGCCTTGGGTCTACGTCCGTTGCGGCCATGTCCACGGCTACCACGGCTGGGGCTGCCGGCGGGAGCGGGGCCCTCAGGAACGGGAGTGTCCCCTCTGCCGCCTTGTTGGGCCCTATGTGCCGCTGTGGCTCGGCCAGGAGGCTGGTCTCTGCCTGGACCCTGGGCCACCCAGCCACGCTTTTGCACCCTGTGGCCATGTCTGCTCTGAGAAGACTGCCCGTTACTGGGCCCAGACACCACTGCCACATGGCACCCATGCTTTCCACGCAGCCTGCCCCTTTTGCGGGGCCTGGCTCACAGGCGAGCATGGCTGTGTTCGCCTCATTTTCCAGGGGCCACTAGACTAGGCTCTCCAGAGCCCCTGCTGCTGTGCCCGCCTGCCCACCCAGGTCCCCCACCACCTGCTGTTCAGAGGGAGCTCTGCATGTGGGACTCTGCCTGCTGGCAAATGCCACACCAGTTGGACACATTGGATGGGCTGTGACCCTCCCACAACTCTAGCCTCTAAGAGGGTCCCTGAGATCTCCACCCCAGTCATACTGATCAGACTTCAGCACCAGCTCTGCCCCAGGCTGATGGAGGGAGCCCCATGTCCCTACCCTTCCTGGGGTGCCCCACATCATGCCACCTACACTGTGCCCCTGGGGGAGTGAAGGGGCCATGGCCTCTGACTCTCAGCTTAGGCTGGCTGCGCCTTGAGTCTGCCAATCCAGTAACAGACATCCATCCTTCCTGCTGCTGCCCTGGGTTGCTCTATAAATGGCGCTTCTCAGCTGTCCTCACAGATCCACATGTCCCGCATGTGTGCAATACCTCCAGCCCTCAGCAACTGATGGGTGGGTGGTAGACAGGCTGGGATCGGCATTTGCTGATGCCCAACATAGTTGGATGGTGCCAAGTAGGGGACACATAGACAATCAGGTTTTCTGCCTAGTGGAGTTTCAGAGGGTGAACATCTTCATATGTGTTAGGATCAGAGAATTCTCTGGCTAGAGCACAGTTTGCTTGCTGGCTTTGGGAATGTGAGAGGCTTCACATGGGAAGTGGCACAGGAGCTCAGCCTTTGCCATGGCTTGGAATCCTCCAGACCCACAGGTCAGGGTAAGGAAGCACTGGAGTATCAGATTCAGGGGATGCTGGAGTGTGGGCTGTAGGGAAGACAGGACTGGATGGAGCACAGGATGTGGCTGTGCTGGATGGAGGAGTCACATCCTCATCTGTGGATAGTCAGGAGTAAAGCTGGGGGATTTCCTGCTCCAGAGCACTGGCTCTGACCCAAGGGCTACTATCACTGAACACCCACCATGTGCCCTACCCTGTGCTAACAGTAATTACAACTGCGTTCACTGAGTACTTGCCAGGTCCTGGGCTTTGCTTCTCCGAGGTTTTGTTGTTCAGTCCTCACAGTGATCTGGGAAGGGAGAGGTGTCCCCACTTGGATTCATAGAGATGAAGCCACAGTCTAGCTGTAAGTCCCAGATAGTGACCAAACTGGGATTGGAAGCCACAGCTGCTCCTCTCCATCACACTAAGGCTGGGTGGGGCTGAGGCAGGAGAGTTTAGAATCTGTTTCATAGAGAGGCTGAAGATCAGATAGAACAGATAACACCTGCTCAGTGCCAGGCCCCATGCAGAGCTCCAGCAATGAGCAAGGGCTCCCAATCAGAGGGGAGATGTGTGGGCTAATACCAGAAGCTGACCACTATGTCCTACTGGTCACCTGCACATGCTGGAATTGTTCTGCAGCTAGGGACATCTAAGAAGGCACTGGGATGGCCTAGCACCAAAGCCACATCTCGAATGACAGAGACTGCAGGATGGAGAGGGCAGGGCATGAAAGGTGCTTAGCAACCAATATGCAGAGCAACAGAAGAGCTGGGCTTAGGGTATCGGCTAGCTCCTGCTGGGCCTTGGCGGCTGTTGAGGTCAGCTCAGTGCTGGACCCCTATTCATCCTGTGAACTGAGAGTTGAGATGAAGTTGCCTCTCCAACAAATTTAGGGGGAACAAGGGAAACAAGCAGATGGACTTTCTAGAGAAATAAAAGAAGGCTGTGAGTGCAGGTATGATTTGGGTGTTGTCCTCAGTTCAGGACAGAAGCCAGAGCCTTAGTGAGGTACAGATTCCACAGGGACCTGTCCAAGGCCACATGGTTGGGGCCAGAGAGACTAGACCTGGTCTGTTGAGAGGACAGAAGGTAGCCACCATGAGAGAGGAGGGAGAGGTGACACAGCTACAGTGGGATGGATGGCAGAATATGTGTGTAGAACATTTCACCCTCCCCCCCAAAAGCACTAGAAATGGAACTCTACCCAGTTCTTGTTAACGACCCTGTGTGGGACCAGGCAGGGAAATGTTCTGATCTCATTTCTGGCTGTAAGTCTGACTCTGGGAGGAGGGGCAAACTCAAGGCACTTCCCTGGGTGCTGGGAATAATATGTGCTATTGGTAGGAGCCAGCTCTTGCAGCCTCAGACTCCACAGCTGTTAAATGGAATGACAGTCCCTAAGACTAGGCATGGTGGCATGTGCCCGTAATCCCAGCATTTGGGAAGCGGAGGCAGGAGGATTGTGTGTTCCATGCTAGCCTGGGCTACATAGCAAGACCCTGTTTCAAGCAGCAAAAGCAAATGAGTTGAGAGTGTCTGGGAAAGTCATGACCCTAGTTAGTAGACTGTGCTCTGTGTGCGTGTGCATGTTGCGGGGGCAGGTGGAGAGAACAGGACAGTGGAAGGTCTGAGTAAGGTTACGCCTCAGTTCAGGGACTCTTGAAGATACACTATACGGTCTTAGGGAAATCAAAGAACCTTAGTCTCAGTTTTCCCCTCTGTTAGTCGGTTCAACGATGATGTGCTATCTCAGGGTTTTGCAAGAATTAAACGAGATCCTCTATAGCAAGCTGCTGGCAAACGACTTCATTCAATAAGTGCTCTTTTTCACTGAGATCATAAAATGGAATCATGCAGCTGGGTTGGGAGTCTTGGGTCTTGGGATCCTTTGCCTGAGCTGCCCCTTGATGGCCTTGGCAGCTCCCCTATCACCCCAAAAATCTGGTTACCTTTTACCTGAGTCAGTCAACTTTATGCCCAGTCTAATGACAATGAAAACTGAGGCATGGGCTGGAGAGATGGCTCAGTGGTTAAGAGCACTGACTGCTCTTGCAGAGGACCCGGGTTCGATTCCCAGCACCCACATGGCGGCTATGAACTGTCTTTAACTCCAGTTCCAGGGGAATCCGAAGCTCTTTTCGACCTCCGCGGCATTGCACGACATGGGTGCACTCACTTACATGCAGGCAATACACTCATACACATAAAATAAAAATATTTTTTTAAAAAACAGGCACAAGACAGAAAGATGGCTTTCCTAAGGACATGGACACTTATTGAACTCCCCCTTATAATGACACCAATCAGAGCCAGCAGCACTGTTGTAACAAGCAGGGCTTGGGCACCTTTGTGAGAACCTGGTGCTTGTGGTGGACATTGGTTGTATTGGACTCTAGATACAGGCCAGGCAAGGACTGTGCTTGATTTCAGTCCAAACCCTACCCTTTACACATCCCTAGGGGGCAGCACTACCCAGTCAACAGTTACTGAAGCCTATACCAGTCCTTGGAATTCCAAGTGACTGAGCTCAAGTGACCTACCTGAAGTCATGCAGCCAGTGGGTAATCCTGATTAACTTTAGGCCACCTCAGTCGGCCTCCAGGCTGACCCAAATCCCCTGCAATACTTTCCACTAGGCCCCACCACATCAGGCACCTGGCACTTGCACCCACTGTGGGGCACCCAGACCCACCCAGACAGAGGCTACCCTGGCTTTTAAGGGTGGATTTCAGGCTCACCCACAGCCTGGGTTGCTTTGGCATCCCTGGAGTCTGTTTTACCAGTCTGTATCAGACCCTGGATAGTACCAAGAAAATACTAGCTCCTCGCTGGCCTCCTATTGAGGAAACTGAGGCTCAGGATACTGGAGAACAAGTGAAGCACTTGGAACACTTTCCTGCATCTCTGGGTGGGTTGGGACCTCCTGCTCTGCCCAGAGCCTGCTCACTTGGAGCCGTGAGTCTTTTTTTTTTTTTTTTTTTTTTTTTTTGAGACAGGGGCTCCTTGTAGCCCCAGCTGTCCTGAAACTCACTATGTAGACCAGGCTGGCCTCGAACTCACAAAGATCCACCTGCCTCTGCCTCCCAAGTGCTGGGATTAAAGGCGTGCACCACCACGCCCAGCATGAGTCTTTTTTAAAAATATTTTTATTTTGGGGCTGGAGAGATGGCTCAGCAGTTAGGAACACTGACTGTTCTTGCAGAAGACTCGGGTTCGAATCCCAGCACCCACATTACAGCTAACAACTGTCCGTAACTCCAGTTCCGGGGAATCTGACAGTCTCTTCTGTCCTCCGCAGGCATTGCACACGACATGGGTGCACTTACCTACATGCAGGCAATAAATTTTTTTTATTTTCTGCATATGAGTGTATTGCTTGCATATATGTAAGTGCATCTGTGTTGTGCAATGGCCGAAGAGATCAGAAGAGGGCGTCGGATCCTCTGGAACTGGAGTTCCAGATGGTTGTTCCAGATGGTTGTTAGGCACCACGTGGGTGCTGGGAACCGAACCCAGTGCTCTTAACCGCTGAGCCATCTCTCCGACCCTGGAGTCACGATTCTTTGTAAGTAGTCAGCACCCCCAAAATCCCAAATCCAGGGAGGAGGGGGTCCACACTGTGACATCCCTCCCATTGTGCAGGTTTCTGCCTGCAAACCCCGGTGGAGAGCAGGGCCCCAGCGGTGTGTGTGCGTTCATAGGGACCCTGCTGCTTAGGGACCGCCACAGTCCCCTCCGCCTGGACCAGGCAGCAGCCAGCACCCCCATCCCCCGCTAGCCTGGCCTGCGGACAAAAGGCCAAGGCCGCCGGGGCCCAGCAGCGCTCCACCCGTAGCGCCTCGGGGCGGGCGTGGGAGAGGGAGGTGCTGGTCTCGGCGTGTCTATTGGCTGGAGCTGCCGCCCATCTGGGCCGCGGGCCCAGACAATTGGCTGGTGGGGGCGGGGCTTGCAAAGCCCCAATGAATGGGGGAGCCGGAAGCAGGAAGTGAGTTCGCGAACGGAGCAGCTGCAGCAGGTGAGGTGCGGCACCCTGGTTTGGGGGTCACGGGGTGTCATCTTCAGGGGACCGGAGCGAGGCCGGGCTACACCCGCATGATCCCTCCCTTTCTGCCCACCCTTCAGTGCCTCTTTCAAATCTCCCTGCTCCAAGGCCAAGGAGAATGTCTGGGGAGTGAATGGTTTACACGCGCTTCCGAACCCCCACGGACTGTGATGTTGGGGCGGAGCCTCGCGAATAGGGGGTGGGGAGGGTGGAAATTCCTGTTCATGGGGGTGGGGAGGCGGGGCGTGGAGAATGTCGTGGATTGAGAATGCCCAGGTGTCAGCAGAGCTGATCTTTGCTAAGTTGTTGCCCTCGAGTGTCAGTGTCCCTATCTATAATATGGGTTGTGACCCTTAGGCGACCACTCTACCAACTGAGCCTCTTGTAATTTGCATATCCACCTGTTGAGCTGGTGGCATGAGCACACTCATTTTACTGAGGAGGAAAGAGAGGTGTGGAAAAGTGAAGCAGTTGGTTTGAGTTTTTGGAATCTGGAATGGAGCAGGGTTGGAGCATGGGGTGGGCATCTAGATGGAGGCCAGGCATCTGTCCTTTGGAGTAGTGGAGGTGGAGTGGGAGTGCTGGAAAAATTCTGAACAAGGAGCCTAGCAAGTCAGAGAAGGTGGAAGGGAGACGGAGTGACCTGGACTGGGAGTCTAGAAATAAGGGTTTATATGCTGACCCGATTAGGCAAGACTTATGGCCTCTTTTAAAATTTTTTTAATTTAGTTTAAAAATTTTTTACTTATTTTTATTACATGTGTATGAGTGTTTTACCTGCTGGATGTAAGTGTACCTGTGTGTGCAATGCCCACAGAGACAAGAGGGGTTGAGTACCCTGACAAACGGTTGTTAGCCACTATGTGGGTGCTAGGACTCAAACCCAGGACCTACTGCAAGAGCAGCAAGTGTGCTTACCTGCTGAACCATCTCTCCAGCCTGGGCTTGAGGCCTCTTTGAGACTCAGTTTTCCCCATCTGTAACACTAGGTTGTTGGATTCAGACTTTTATGTTAAGGGACCAGCAGACCAAAAATAGGGGCTACCATTTGGTTCTTTGAATCTTGGTGTATTGCCATAGTGTCATTCCCTTCCTCCTGGATTTTTGGGAGGAAGATGTGAGCTCATCAGAATTCAGAGCAGATGTGCAGGTGGTGGGTTCCTTGCGGTGGTTATGATGACCGGGATGTTTCCTGGCAGGGCCCATGGCAGATACCCAGTACATCCTGCCCAATGACATTGGTGTGTCTAGCCTCGACTGCCGTGAGGCCTTCCGCCTGCTGTCACCCACAGAACGTCTCTATGCTCACCATCTGTCACGGGCCGCCTGGTATGGAGGCCTGGCCGTGCTGCTTCAGACCTCCCCTGAGGCCCCCTACATCTATTCTCTGCTCAGCCGCCTCTTCCGTGCCCAAGACCCTGACCAACTGCGCCAACATGCCCTGGCTGAGGGCCTTACAGAAGAGGAGTATCAGGTTAGTTCTCACAGGCCAGCCTGGTTTCCTGTGGGGCTTCTAGAAGGGTATGGGGGACCAGAATCTGGGGGCATGGATCTCTTTCTTTAAGTAGATAGAGGATTAGACTAAAGGTCGCTAGATCAGGAACACCCCCAGCCCCCATCACCTCAGGCCTCTGATCTGTATGTGTATGGACTGCCTCTTAGTATTATGGTAACCCACTTACACAGTGTCTACTTCCTGATACAGGGAGCCAAGCCAGGTGTGGTGTCATATATCTTTAATCCCCGGCAACCAAGAGGCCAATTCAGAAGGATTGCTATGAGTTTAAGGCCAGCCCAGGTTACATAGTTCTAAGCTAGCTGCAGTGATTTTAACAAAGGAATCAGCAGCTGGTGTTGAGAAGAGGCAGAGGAAGGAGTCCAGGGTGGAAATCAGGAGGTTTGAGTTCCAGTTCTGCCTTGAAGGGGCGCTGAGTGGAGTGTTTTCCTGCCTTCTGGTTTTGTTTGTGAATCTGTTAGCCAAGTAATGTATGAGTTCTCCATGCATTGCAGCCATTCTGAAAGACAAAATACACACTATCACACATGCTCACTGTCCAGAGGTGGCCACTGTGGCTAGTATGTGGACACCCTCTTCCCTCCCTTGTATTGCATACCTAATACCTGTGCATGCACAGTATATCAGGTTCTTATTTAACCTTCGTATTTAAAATGTGAAATGACTGTGTCTTGTGTGAATGTGTTATGTGTATGCATTTATGCATGTGGGTGCAAATGCCCCTGTATGAACTTATGGAAGCCAAAGGAGAAGCTATTCCCTTGAGACAGTTTCTTTCGAACCTGAAGCATGCCAGTGTTTGGCTAGGCTGACTCACCAGTGAGTTGAGTTCCGGGATCTTCCTGTGTCACTCTCCTTGCCCCATCCCACCCCAGTGCTCTGGGGTTACAGGCATGTGTGGCCACACCCAGCTTTTTTATGTAAGTGCTGGGTGTTCAGCACACAAGCACTCTTACCTGCTGAGCCGGCTCCCCAGCTGTGTTTAACCTTTTTGCATAAATTTTCATGTCATATTCTCTGTGTTCTGTGTATTACCTTTTTTGCTGAATACCATGTCCTGGAGAACTTCCATGAAGTATACATTAATCCATTTAAGGGGATGGAGAGGTGGCTCAGCAGTTAAGAGCACTGGCTACTCTTGCAGAGGACCAGGGTTCAATTCCCAGCACCCACATGGTGGCTAACAGCCATCTGTAACTCCAGTTCCAGGGGAATCCGATGCCCTCTTCTAACCTCCACGGGCATTGCATGACACAGGTGCACTTACATTCATGGAGGCAATGCACTCATACACATAAAATAAAAATAATAAATATAATATTAATCCACTTAATTCCTTTTATTGACTGTAAAGCACCTCTCAGCAGTTGCCCTGTAATCCATTTAGTCTCTCTTTTTTTTTTTCATTGCTGGATATATTAGATGGTGCCTAGTTTTTCTTATGAACAGTGCCTCAGTGAGCATGCGTGTGTACTTGTATGAGTAGAACTATTTCTAGAGCTCGCTTTGGCAGCACATACACTAAAATGGAACAATCCAGAGAAGATTAGTGTGGCCCTTGTGTAAGGATGACATGCACATTTGTAAAACACTCCATATTTTTGTATGAAATACACAAAAATTCAATTAAATATTTACAAAAAAAAAAAGAGCTATTTCTAGAAGTAGAAATGCTGGGTTGAAGGCTCTGCACATTTACAGTGAGCAGATTCTGTTAAACTGGCTTCTAAAAAATCTTCAGCAAGCCAGGCATGGGGGCACACGCTTTTAATCCCAGAGCTCGGGGAAGGCAGAGGCAGGTGGATCACTGCGAGTTCAAGACTAGCTTGGTCTACATTATGAGTTCCAGGCCAGCCAGGGCTACATAGTGAGACCCTGTCTCCAAAACAAAAAATAACATAAATCAAAATAAATAAAATTTAAAAAAATGAAAAGACAGCTTCATTGAGTTGTGTTCCCACAGGAATGTACATGATTATGACTTGGTTTTGTATATGGGAAGGAAAAGGATTAGATTGCTTCTTTCTGGCCTGAAGTGCTGTTTCTTCTGCCTGTTTTTGGGGTAACCATTTTCTATCTCCAGGCCTTGATCTACTGATTAAAAGGGCTAATCTCGGGGCTGGAGAGATGGCTTAGCAGTTAAGAACACTGGTTGTTCTTGCAGAAGACCGGAGTTCAAATCCCAGCACCCACATGGCAGCTAACAACTGTCCGTAATGTTCCAGGGTATCCGACGGCCTCTTCTGTCCTCCACAAG